ACGTCACGTGCAAGACCCGAGATTTACTTGCAGTTTTTTTTATGTTCTGAATCATGTAGCGGCTTCCGTTTGTGCAAATTCATTGTCTAAATAGTAGTTTTAAACATAGTTTGGTTAAATGCCAATAAATGCTTAGTTAAGTTAAGATATTACTTTCACAGGTTCAAGTTAGGTAAAGTTGGAGCCATGCAAGGAGCCTAGGGTGGTAGTGGATCCTTTTGAAAACAAATTGTTTTAAATAACTGTTTTTGATGCATGAAAGAGTGAGAAAGAAATGTGGTTAGCGTGTCTAGTTAGACTCTCCTTAGGGGAGAGTCTTGTTAGCAATCTTTAGTTTTTTTTTCGATCTAAGGCTGTTTCCAATGGGAGGTGGGGAAAAAAATCAAACGTTTGGTCCAAATCATCTCCAAAGATATATTTTGGGGTAAACAAAAAAAAAACATAGGACTTTGGGTTTAGGGTGGGTATTTGGGTCTTCTATCTCCCCAGATAGATAAGGCTTCAAGTAAGTTGAAGCCCCACCCAACTCTGATTCATCACGTGAAAAAAGGCCACGCGGGCCTCATGCAATAGCAACAAAACGATAGATGAATACTCTGCGGGTGAATGTACAACAAGCATGGGTTGCGCATGTAATCCATGCTTAGGAGGAAACTTTTAGGGGGCGTTTGTTTGCCCTCACTAAGTGGGACTGGACTAGACTGGACTAGCTGTTAGTCCAATACTGTGTTGTTCCATGCTGGGACTAACATTAATGAGACTAAAGGGGACTAGCATGGACAAAACCCTTCACTAAGAGGTCTTAGCGAGACCCCCCAATAACCATGGGACTAGCTAAGACTATCTTCTCTCGTCCTCGTCATGCTCAACAACCACTCCCGATAGACTCCCCGTCATCTCCGGTCACCTAGATCATAATAAAATATTAATAATTTATATATTAAATAATATAATATTAGAATTTGTTATTATCCAGCTTCTTAGTCCAACACTGCACCAAACGCTTCACTAAGTTAGTCCAGCTTAGTCTAGTCTAAGCCAGTCCAGCTTAGTCCTTGAAGCTAGTCCAGTCCGAGATAGTCTGGCGCAACAAACGCCCCCTTATGGTCACCAAGGGAGGGGTGGGAAACCAAAAAAATCCAAAATTTGGGCCCAAAACCTCTCTAACGGATGTATTTTGGGGGGGTGGGAAAAATAAGATTAGGTTGCAAGTGAGACCAGCTGCAGCAGTCAGCCTACGAGAAGATAACCCCACGTGGGCCGGCGCGAGTCAGCTGACTGGGAGGGGAAGGATTGGCTGCGAGCCATTGGGTCATATTCCATGTGGTCTCTTTGTTAGATTTTATTGAGTCATGGTTCATGACAAATGTAAGCATATCATAGGATGACTTAAGAGTGAATGGCTAGGATGATTTTGTAATGATGTGATAGAGTGAGAGAGTGAGCTGGCACCTCCTCTAATGGTAATATATTATCTTCACACATTTGGTGTGAGAGTAAGAATCCAATGAAGATTTCGAGCTCTGTTACATTGTCAATTTTTCCGATTTCTTGTTCTGCAATTTTCCAGAACTCATATATTCATTCCATTGAAATCATACACTCATAATCAATATACTAACACCTTAGGCATGGAGATTGTGGAAAGCAGGGAAATCTTTAAAGTTGATTAACGAATGATTAAGGGACTCGCGCACAATAGCGGAGCCAAGAATTATTTGGTGGGTGGGCTAAACTAAAATTATTACTGGGAGATTAAATGGATAAATTTTTTTGTTACTTACATAAAGTTACACAATAACAAGCCTAAAAGAATAATTTAAAGTAGGAAATTTAACTATGAATAAAGTAAGTTTCAACTAGATTTAACAAAGAAAACATTTGAAGTTGCAACTTATAGTAGAAAAAAACATAGATCATCAATCTTGTCATAACAACTTAACAAATAAAAGAAAAGGTACCTATTCAAGTTGTGCCCTTCGATCCTTAATGGAATTGAAATCCTTTGTTATTTCTTCTGAATCAATCTTCTCGGCAAGCTCTTTTTCAATGTACACAACCATTGAATCTGCTAGAAATTCACTCTCCATCTTGTTGCGAAGTCTTGTTTTAATAAGATTCATTGTTGAAAAAGCTCGTTCAGTAGTTGCTGTAGAAACGGGAAGAGTCAATACAAGTCGAATTAACCTATCAATCAAATAGTACCTTTCAGACCTCTTTGTTTCAACTAATGCCCGACATAATTCCGAAGTAGTAGACATTTTTTGAAACACATGATGATGCGGTACGTCTGATTCATAGATTTTCAACTCACACCTCAACGTATGTAGCTCTTTTTCAACTCACACCTCAATGTAAGTAGTAGACATTATTGAAGATATCAATGTGATAATGATGCTCAAATGTAATAAGATCTATTTGCTGACAAGAACGACAAGTTCCTACTTTGTATTGAGCATTCATATCGGGCATATGAACGTCATGTTTCTTGCAGAATAAATTGAACAACAATAATGCAAGTTTATATAATAACTCATATTTCTAAGAAATTTATCAGACTATCAGAAAAAATATATTAAACTTGAAATTGAATTTTTAAAGTACGAACTCTTAAAATTAAAGCAATAAACAAATAAAATCATCAAGACATAAGAATAAAGTGGTAAAAACTTACCTATTAATAAAGGTCAAAAAATTTATAGACAAAAATAACATTGAAAATATGGTCCTTTGGTCTTGAGCTTGAACTACCTGAACAAATAGATGATCCTATTGGCTTTGGCTTGAAATTAGTATAAACAAATAGATGGTCCTTTTGTCTTGAGCTTGAACTACCCAATAAATAAAAATTCCATCTAAATTCTAATGATCAAATGAGTATAAACATAAAACATATCAACAATCATATCAATAATAGACTAAAAATCTTCATCAATATCTAATATAATTTAATTGAGATTAGATTAGAATACCAAAAAACTTACTTGAATTGTGAACCAAATAGTGGTGGCCTAGAGATTTTGGGAGGTATGATATTAGAGTAATAAAATAATTATATGGGATTGGGTGTGGGATTTAGAATTTTAGGGTTTTGAAATCTGAGGAGTTGGGGGAAGTAGAAGAGAAATTTGGGTGAATATGTTATTGGGCATTGAGGGAAGCAGAAGAGCGGGAAGCGGGGGAAGGGTGGGACAGTGGGGAATGATGTGGGTTGGGGATGAGATTTAAAATAATGGACAAACACTTTGGATGGGATATAAAAAACAATTTAAAGCAATTGGGACGTGTGGTGTGTGTCAATGTGTGTGTACAATCATGACTACTCTTTCTAGGAAACCCAAAATAATCAGACCACTCCCTACCCTAGAAACTAATCAAATAAAAAGATTATTGGGACGTGTGGTGTGTGTCAGTGTGTGTACAATTTCAAACATGATAATAATAAATTTTGATATTGATGAAAGTAAATAATTTATTTCATATTTATTAACTCTTACTTTTTTTTTAAAGTAGTCTTATTTTTCAAAACTTTTACTTATTGGGTGGCTATAACAATTAAAAATAATAAAATATTCTAAATTATAAGTATTTTAACCTTACACAACTAAAACTCTCCTTATGCTAGAGCCCACCGTAGTCTTGTTACTGCCTCCGCCGGTGCTCGCGCACTCTATCGGACATCCTAAGTTTACATACATGTTAGTGTTTTATGTGTGCAACAACTTTCTGAGGACAGACCAACCATGTCATCTGTGTTTCTGATGTTATTGTTGGAAAAATAATACTCTGATTTCAACTGTTAGGGGACGGGTACCCGTTGTTGGAAACCAAAAAACCAGGCTTCTTCAGTGGAAGAAGATTTTTCTTTTAAGAACTTATCATCTTCGAGCAAGAACAAGTTAAATTTATCATGGGTATAACAATTGCAAGTTTCGTAACACAAAATTTATACTTTGTAGCAGTCTTTAATTATGCTCAGGCTGGGTTCTACCTTGTGCTGTTCTATCTAGAGCACGTAAATGCTAAGGAAGAATCAGATTGAGTTTGGGTAAATGAAGTCGAACACAACACATAACTTGAAGAGCTCGGTGGAGAAGGCTACCAAACCACGAGGAGGTGGACCAGGCCTATCCCCTAGAGCAAGTACTTAGAGAATGATATTGGTCGAGAAAAGATATCGTTTCCTCAACTCCTCCAACCATGTCTGGGTCATGACACCGATAATATCCTTTGATGTCGGTCGATGAGAACACCAACCCTGTAAAGAAACAAAGAGTCCCATACCCCGTCTCAGAACTCACAGGATGAGATCCTCACGTATCCAGATCGAGATGATGGTGGCTTCAGATAATCAGAGGTGTCAAAGGGGTTTTCATCGCTCATCTCGGTCGAATGTGGATTCTTGCTCATGGTTTGAAGAATCCTCTAAGTCTATTATGGGTGATTGAGTGATTGGGTGGCAAACAAAGGTACCCCTTAGACCGACCAACATCTCATCATTGAGAGCATCTGCTGCATCGATCAGTGTGTCATTGTCGATACTCTGGCTCCCGATTGATTGCTCGTAGTTCTGTGTTTGGTAGTGGTGCAGTCTTTCAACAATCATCGAGAGGGCACCACCAACCGAGATCGAGCAACCCTAATTTACGATGAATCTTCGGTAATAGTTCACGAGCCCTAAAAAAGATCTTTGGTAATAGTTCACGACCCTTAAAAAAGATCTTTGCTCACTCACATTGGTAGGTGTTTGCCACTCCTCGAGAACCCCACTTAGTAGGATAAAACTTTGTTGTTGTTGTTGTTGTTGTATACATTATTCAGGGTGGATTCAGGGATGAATAGAGATCGGGGATTCCTATAACCATATCGAAACCATAACCAAATTATATTCACGGTTTTTCTTCATATCTTCAAACTACACAAATTTTCATCCCCAAATATGCCTCATTTGGACATTTATGTATAATTATAATTATCTATAATTATCTCATTTGGACATTTATCTATAATTATCGTATTTCTATTTGAGGTTCTGCCACCGTGATCCAAGTGCTCAAACAACCAAGACCATCAAAGCCCGTAATAAAATTCCCCCTTCCCAACAAACAAGAAAGGAGAAAGAAAAGAAAATCCTCTTCCGATAAGTGTTTACATTTCTCTGTGACCAAACGATCGACCGGTCTAGGGTTGGAGCAGAAAAGCTTCCCCGTCTGTTACAGGCTCATCCATGGATGCTCACGGCGAGCGCCTCCAAACCCAGCTCAACGGCCTCAGCCATGGGGTGGCTGGTTTGAGAACCAGTTTAAGCAACCTGAAAGATCATCTACTCGTCACCGCCACCGAAAATCAAACATTTCTAAAAAAAACCATCACAAATCTACTCACCGGGATCGAAGATTGCTTGAGCGGATACGGTAAGCCTCCAAGCGAACGGGCCACGTATACGGAGGAATTCATGGAAGAAACCAATTGTATGATCATCTCTTCTCCTTGTACATATTTTTTTTTCTGGATAGCCTAGGGGTTAGGCTAACAACAAATTCACATCTGTATGTTTTGATTTTCTTAAATTATCTACGTTGTATTCTGTTTGCTTTGACTGTCTCACTTTATCTCCATTGTATTATATTTTGTTTGTTTTGTGCGCAGTGGAATGGTATAAGACCTTGCCCATCCTTCCGAAGTTTGGTACCTTCCTCTCTTGTGCTTTTTTCTTTATTATAATTTAGAATAACACTTGCCCAACCTATGAGCTTTCTTTGTTTTATGCAGCAAAAAGGCTAGACGGATATGACAATCAATTGAAATCGTCTTTGGAGGGTCAAGGCATAAACTGGAAAGTAGATTATCGTCAGGTCCCTCATTCCATGACAGTTTCAACAAACAGTGGGGACCCACATATTACTAACAAGGCTTGTCAAATTCTTAAACTCTTGGCATATACTACCGTTGACCCATCACTGGTAAAGATTTTCAAAGTATTTGCAAGCTTTATGAAATGTTTTGTATGCCGCCTTGTACTTGAAATCTCCAAATATTTTCTTTTTATGTATAAAAAAAAAAGAAGAGAATTTGGATTGGATTTTTTATTTTTAACCATTTTGTAACAATTATCTGATTCTTTTTAGTGCATGACAATTTGATTTCAGATATTAGAGATAGTTGATGGAAGCATGCAACATGTTAACATTGGATTTCTTGATCTGAACAAAAAATTTAAAATTGAGAAGGTGGGTATTGAATAAGTTTCATAACATTTTTTTGTCTATCAATACGTGTTGAACAAATCTAAGTTATTAAACTTCTATGATCTAATTTTTGGACACTGTGATTGTGACCTTTTAATTTTAGCAAAACAACATCTGAGGATAATTTGTAAGAGGACTATGAGCCTTTATTTGGGTCTTATGTTTGCTACTTGATGTTCAGTCAGACTCAAATTTATGTATAATGGTGGAGATATGGAATTTGAAGTTCTTATTTTAGGTGGATTTAATCTTACACATTTTGTGCAGAAGGTAAAATTGAAATGGGACGAACTTTCCAGGCGCTCCATCAAGGTGCATGCATAAATCTATTTAATCATGTTTGTTGATCTTCCCACTGGCAAAATATTTATGGCTTCACATTCTGTTACCTGTCCCATTTTGCTGCTTGTTTCTCTAATATTCTGCAATATAATTTGGATGCAGAAAATGGGCAAGATGACGCGGTGTAAACTTTTCCTTTACGTAAGTGTTATTGTCCCTTTATCATTTTAATGCTTATGTTTTCCATTTCTCTCTTTGGTCTTCCCACCTTCTGGTGGAGGTGAACATAAATTGCCTGTTAATGAATGAATAGAATTGCACGCTCACTGCTGTGGGTACATCTGATGGATCGGAGATGCTGAGGACAATGGTGGAAGGCATCTTTCTCCATGGTGTTGATCTTGCACAGACTGTGAAGATTGAATGTAAGGAATCAAACGATACTGTCGAGAAGAGTCTTGCAGAAAGTAGCATGTGGGCCTCTTTCACTGTATACTATGGTGAAGACAGGGGTGCGCTCATCTCATCCATATTCATCTTTTTCTTTTTTCTTTGTTTTTTTATTAAATTGAAGAATCCTTTTTTTGAATAAATTTTTTATGTCCCGTAGTTACTTTTGTTGTTAAATTTTCTGTGAGAACAATTCCCTGTTCTCATGCTTTCTAATAATTCATTTTGTTTTAGTTATTCAATAGAACAAATGCTTTCTCACTCATGAGCTTTTGAATTGTTTTTGTTCAGCAAAAATGGTGCAAGATGCTTGGCCTATGGTGAAATCGTTTTTACAGGAGAACGGCATTTCATGCGAATTGAGTGCGGTATGTCATGATTAATTCTATAAACTCATGGTTGTGAAACCTACCCTTAATTGATCAGTTGTTTATTTGAAGTTATGCCTGTTGTTTGATGCACATGTTCACTTCTTGTGTTTCAATTGTGGGTTAGCGTAACCGTTCCATGAAAGTCTCAACAACCACAGAGATCAAGGACCGAGATCGTATTGTCAGGGCCAGGCGTCTTCTTGAACTGCTAGGAAAAACTAACGTTCCACCTTCCCTTGTACGATTATTGTCTATTTCGTGAGAATTTTTAAACTGCTTATAAGTTTGCACTATATATATTGGACTTGTACCATTTGATTCAGGCGATAGAAATTATGAACGGTCGTAAGCAGCATATCTTGATGAAGATTGGGCAGCAAGAAGGTGGGCTATGCTCAAGGTTTGGGATCGAGAAGGTTGGTATTGAATACAGTTTTCCTAATTTGGGCTTGATCTTTGTAGATGTGGTAATTTGGGATTGGTGCTACCTGCTCAATGAAGACTCAGCCAAACCTCTCAGTAACTGTTTTCTAATCTCTACTGTTGTTTGCAGGTGGAGTACGAAGATCGGCTCCGGAGATTTCGTGCCTCTATAGAGGTGAATAAAGTGATCTAAATTATTATGGCCGACTGCTTTTGGATTTGGCTTCATATACACACACATGATTATTGGTGGTTTAATTCTATTCTGGTTGTATGCCTAATTTTTGACAATATTCTTGATGCAGGAGATCATTGGCTTGACAGGCACCAATCTTTATCACTATGTAAGTGTTGTGATTTTGGTTAGGGTTTTCTTTATCTGGTGTTAATTCCCACCGGTGGGTGGTACACGTTGGTGATTTATGAGTTTCATTAATGAATTTTAATTTCCTAAATGAATAATAGCAAGACACTGTTACTCTTGTTGGGGGCGCTGTCGGTCAATCTGAAGACTTGGAGATGGCGAGGATTTTGGTGGAAGGCTATATAGTTCATAATGTTGAGAGTGATTGCGTCACAAAGCTGAAGCTGATGAAGTCTGAAAAAAGAAAAGATAGAGAAGGAGAAGACGCTCTGGCAACTTGTCCAAGAAAGAAAAAAACAAAAACTGAAGATGTGAGTGCTTCATGGAGTGAAGAACATGCACACGACGAGGGCAGCGTCTTGATATTTTTGTAATAAATTTAAGAAGAATTGCACCGACATGAACCATTGATATTTTTCGATTCTGATTCGAGGGTGGAATCGTATCGTGCCTACGCCTAAAGTTCATCTCATGGATTTTTTATGATTTATTTCTGTGAAGAATATTCCCACGAGGATGGCATCTTGAAAGTCATTAATTGTGACTCGTGGTTGTTTAGGCAGTCTCCAATCGATGGCTCCACCGGCAGTCAATGTTTAAAATATCGGTATCGGTGGAATATAGATAGGTAAATTTGTGGAAATATCAATAGATATATCGAATATCGATATCGATTGTCTTCGATGGAAATGATGGAAATTTGCTTAAAAACATGGGAATTTAAAATTATTTTTTACGGAATGTCATACAAAGCCACAACACACGTATGAATCAAGAACTAATGATTAGATACTGTGTAAATAATAAGTATGTGATGTGTGAGAAGTAAAACTTCATTCTAATGACAAGTAATAAAATAAAGCATTTTACTAGAAAGAATAAATTATACATAACTTAATTGATATTTTCGTCACGAAAGCAGTACAAGTTTTATTGAAGTAAACTAATACCATAAATAAAGAAATTAAACAAATAAAGAATGCATAGACTCATGGATATTTCCTGCAAATTGTCTGCAAACTCTGGATATTTCCTTAAAATATAAAAAATATTGAGAAAATTGATTGATTTTCAGAAATATCGCAGATATGGGGTGAAGTTCAACACCACAGGCCATCTTGTCCTTCTCGAAAACAACCAAATAGTTGTTTGGTCTGCAAATTCGTCGAAACAAACCTAAAGCCAGAGCCTTGTCCTGCAGCTGTTGGACAATGGCAACCTTGTCCTGAGGGAGAGAAAGATACCAACTCAGAAAACTACTTGTTACAAAGCCTTGGTCTGCAAATATTTTTCGATTCCGATTCTATTTGAGGGTGGAATTGCATCGTGCCCACCCCTAAAGTTCATTCCCATGAGGACAGCATCTTGAAAGTCATTAATTGTGACTCGTGGTTATTTAGGCAGTCTCCAATCGATGGCTTCACAGGCAGTCAATGTTTAAAATATCAGTATCGTTGGAATATTGATAGGCAAATTTGTGGAAATATCAATAGATGTATCGAATATTGATATCGATGGAAATGATAGAAATTTGTTCAAAAATATGGGAATTGAATTTTTTTTTTAAAGGAATGTCATACGAAGTCATAACACACATATGAATCAAGAATTAATGATTAGATGTTGTGTAAACAATAAATATGTGATATGTGAGAAGTAAAACTTCATTCTACTGACAAGTAATAAAATAAAGCATTTTACTAAAAAGAATAAATTATACATAACTTAATTGAAATTTTCGTCACGAAAGTAACACAAGTTTTATTGAAGTAAACTAATACCATAAATAAAGAAATTGAAAAAATAAAGAATGCTCATGGATATTTCCTGCAAATTGTCTGCAAACCTTGGATATTTCCTTAAAATATCAAAAATATCGAGGAAATTGATTGATTTCAGGAAATATCGCGGATATGTGGTGAAGTTTAGACTTAACCCCTCTTTTCATATTATTCCCTGAAATTTTTGGATATTTCCGTGGAAATATTGAGCATGTCCGGATATTTCAAACACTGCCGGCAGTTGGATGGTCAACAACACAGGCCACCTTGTCCTTCTCGAAAACAACCAAACCGTTGTTTGGTCTGCAAATTCGTCGAAACAAACCTAAAGCCAGAGCCATGACCTGCATCTGTTGAACATTGGCAACCTTGTCCTGAGGGAGAGAAAGATACCAACTCAGAAAACTACTTGTTACAAAGCTTTGACTACCCTTTTGATACCTTGCTTCCGGGAATGAATCTCGAGTGTGACATGATGACCAGACTTAGCGGCATTTAACAGCATGGAAGAGTCCAGACGACCCTTCTCCGGGAGACTTTATATGGGAGACGAAACTGCTAAACCATTATGAGCCATGTGGAAAAGGGTTTAATGAGTACTTGAGAAGCAGTCCATGGAACGGCCTTTTGTTCTGTGGAAAACCCACCAAGGAACTTCCGGCTTGAACCTCACTTTTGTCAATAGAGAAGAGGATACATGACAATTCACATGATTAACATGTCGTTACTTGGGCAGATGATGATGATGAACCAAACCACGGCGTTTCATCAGTAGTGGATTTAATCACAGGCAGATCAGAATTGGACACTCTACGCAGCATTTCCAAGAGATCCTTGTGACGGTTTTGTCCAGTGCGGTGGCAACTGTGTTCTTAATTCATCGCCAATTTGTCAATGTTTGGAGAGGTTCTTTCCTGGGTCACTGAAGGATTGGAACTTGAAAGATTTTCAAAAGGTTGTGTGAGGAGAAAGTCGTTGAGTTGCAGGAATGATGGATTTGCTAAGTATATGCGGTTGAAATTGCTGGATACTACACACGATTGGATAAATAAAAGCAGGAACTTCGTTGAATGCAGGGCCAAATGCTTATCGAATTGTTCATGTTCTGCTTATACAGACATAGATGTTAGAGGAGGAGGCAACGGTTATGCTATTTGGTTTGAATAGAAGGCAGTTGGCTTGGTTGTCTGGATCAGACATTTTTGGTGCCTATCAAGAATTAGGAGCACAAATTTTGTTTAACTGCACCTTTTTTTGTTAAGTGTGGATATGTCTTAATTCTATTGATACTTTTATCATACAGTTACAGATATATACAAATCATGTGATAAATAATAATTGGCCGATAAACTTGACTGCCCCAAATTGCATTTTAAGTACAGTTAATCTCAATGTAAAACGACTATTTTAGTGAGAAGTTAAAAACTTTGATGTAATGGTCTTCAAATTGCGAAAAGGAATGTGTACTAAAATGAGCAAAGAGGAGGTTTTTTTTTTTTTGGTCAAAGGGAAGATTTTATTCCAACCAAACACACTAATACACAAACTTACATACAAACTAGGCCCAACAACACCTGTACACAACCAAAAAGGCCTAAACAGAAAGAAAAAAACAACAGAAACAGAAAATGAGCCCAAAAGCCCAAAACAAAAGAACATCCGAGAAGCACCCATTGTCTTCTCCACTGTCGATTTAAGGAACTTCTAGCCATCTGATTCTCTGACCGCTGTCGATCATCTCCTTCATTGACGCCTCCTGCACACATCCATAAGCAAGAGGTAATCGACATCCAATCGAAAGAAGTGAATCCCCAGATTGAAGCTCAGGAAAATTCCCGAGCAACACTGCAGGAAACGGCGGACACAAAGAAGAACGTGGTGGTGTTGAAAACACCCAAGCCGGTGAAAGCATCGGAACCCTACACACACTCCACAAAAGACATGGCTGAAAATCAAAGCAAGGAAGAACCAGGAAGAGGAATACCCACGGAGTTGGAGAAATAGGATAAGCCGAAATGAAAATTGGGGAGAACCAATAGTAGATGCAAGGAGAGAAGAAGGAGAAAAGGGAGAAGATGACACAACAACCGACCCCAACCGAAGCTAGGGCCGGTGCCACCGGAGATGTTGGAAATTGAAGGTCTCACAAAAGCACTCTCATTTCGGAGAGAAATAACTCTCACTTATGTGTCATAAATTGTTTTATTTTGAATGGTATGTTTGATTTTACAAGTATAGTTCTTAGATATGCAATTATTTATATTATATATAATATGTATATACTTAAATCCGTCTAGACATCCTAGGCTCCTGCCTAGGCCCTGTCGTCGTTACTTGGGTGGATGATGATGATGAACCATACCATGTCGTTTCACCAGGAGTGGATTTAATCACAGGCAGACCATAATTGGACACTCCACGCAGTGTTTTTGAGAGACCCTTGTGACAGTTATGTCCATTGTGGTGGCAACAGCAACTGTGTTCTTAATTTATTGCCAATTTGCCAATGTTTGGAGAGAATCGTTCTTGGCATGCTTTTGGCAGGTCGTACAAGTCATTAACTGAATACTTCTTGTGAAACTCCCGCACGTATTCCAAAGCCTCACCGAGAATTGGCAGGTGATAATTCCGTCTAACTTTAATTAATGGCTTTTATAGGGGTAGCGGAGGAAGTTTGCTTTCGACTTCTTTCCGGAAGTGCTCGAAGGGAGTTTTCATCTCCCCAGGTCGAATTAGGAGTTTGATTCGCTTCTCGGATTCTTCAATTATGGTTTCAAAAACACAATCGATTACCTTCTTTCCTTGAAGCAGCTCGTTCATGATTGCCAGAGGTTATCGGTCGTCTTTGTTACCCACCGTTTCTTTCGGCTGCCATTTGGTAACCGGGGTAGCTTGTGCTACTCGTCGGCGAACCATACAGTCTATTCTTTGGCGGCGACATTTTTGCGATTTGGACAACGCGGTATATGCATCGGTAAGGGAGCTGTAGCTATACCAACGCTGGTCGCATAACTCAAGTGGCTTGAAGGTTTGCTGGTTCACGAGTGAACTTAAGCTGCCAGAGTTGTGCACATAATAATCTTCATTGTAAAATGGCCCGTCGAAATCAAGTCGACGTCTAGCTGAAGACGACTTGTTATTCTGTGTTTGAGGGTCGAGCCTATCGAAAACTTTATGGCGTTGGCCTACGTCGAGCACTTTTGAGATGTTGCCGCAACTATAGGCGCTAGTTGGGTTCTTCAGCCCAAATTGGCTTTTCCTTCGGCTCAATTATGATGACGTTTGATTAACACTGACTACATAAAACCATCGGCTCGTCAGTTTCCTCTGTGCTGGAGTCCGATATTGACTCGACTTAATCTGGATTTGAAAAGTATCTGGGTGGCTCGTTCGAAGATAGATCAATTTTCAATCGTGGCTGAGAGTTATGGTTAGGAATGAACTGCGTCGGGATGAACTCGGCTTTTTCTTTTCTCTTGTCCTTGGGTAGATGAGCATCTACCATGCTTACCGTCGCCGATGGGAAAGGATCGGCGTCAACTCTCATTGGAGGTTTCTTGGGAAACTTAAGTTTGCCATTGTCGATCCAGCTTTGGATGGCGTCACAAAATACGACACAATTATTTGTCGTATGCTTGTTTGAATTGTGGTCTTTACAATATGTCTTTCCTTTCAAATCTTCGGTCTTGGGAATATTATGCCATGGCCGAAGCTTGACGATTTTTGCAAGTAACAATTGGTCGAAGATGGCATCGGCCTTGGTGATGTCGAAAGTGTAAACCTTTGATGTTTTGACGACGGCTTCCACAAAGGCCAAGCGGGTTTTGACATCTTTGGAATTAGCGTGAACCAACGCTTTGCATATGTATGGTTTGTCAATTACTATCTCGGCCGCATCTATACTGGCATATTGGGACTCTTTGCCTTCGGGTTGGGGACTACGAGATTTTCTCTTCTCAAAGCAAATTGCTCGACATGTTGTTCATACATATCTCGAAAGTTTGCCCCCAAGAATTTCTTTTTGTACTCCACATCCAGGCCATTCAGGGCAAGCCTAACAAACTCGACTTCAGGGAGGGGTACTCGACACCAGTTTCTGGCCGATTTAAACCTCGTAAGATATTCTATTGGTGACTTGTTGGATGATTGAGCCATCTTGGCTAAAGAAGAAACTGACATTTCCATCCCTGGCCGAAAGAATTGCTCATGAAATTTCTTGACTAATTCCTCCCAGCTTTGGATGGAGTTGGGTGGAATAAACGTTGCGAGGTTGTTTGTTCTGTGGAAGGGGAGAGAAATGGACATAGAAGGGGAGATAGTAGTTTTAGGACGAAAAGAAATGGAGAGACGGAGAGGGAGGAAATAGTATCTTTAGGGATGTTTGCAAGAAAAATGGTTTTGGAGGATGTTTTGCAGGAAAAAAATGGAGCAAATGTGAATGGGGGACGGAACTGAAGAACTTTCTAGAGAGAGTCTAGAGATAGGATGAGTGTTCTAAACACTTTGGCCTTGTTTGGCATGTCGTATAAGCGATCAGATAGGACTACGAACTCGACTGTTTGGTGTCTTCTCGTATTGAATAGCCGCCGGATTAATTTAACCAGTCGGATAAGGTAGTCAGGTATACACCTTCTTAATAAACCTTTCCAAAATGAGTGGATTATTAGTCCGGTACCTTTCTCCGGCGACCCCAACGCCAATAACCTCCATCATCTCTAGCAGAATTAGAATCAGGAGATTGAGAGTGTCGTCGCTGGAAGCAGAGGCATCTAACCCTCATCGTCGAACTTATTAGCTGGTATTTATTGATCCTATATTGATGTTCTATTTAACCAAAAACTGTGCGTTTCCATGCTTGAGATTAACTTCTGAAACAATTGTGGGCAGTTTCGACAATCCCACGACTTCCTTCCCGCTCATTCTCCTAAACATGACTAATGAAATACTCAGCAGTAAACAAGTGGTAGCAACCAAAGGAACCGCTGCACCAACATTTCCTAAGCTACACCAAATGCTTCACTAAGCCAGCCTAACTTATTCTAATATAAATGAGTCAAGCTTAGTCCGAGACAGTTCAATGCAACAAACACACTAGCAGATGAATTGAAGGGAATCAAAACAAAAATTAATAAAACATGTGTAAAAGCTAAAAATAGTATGTAAATGACACCGCTCTTAATTTTATGTGAAACCTCAATTCCGTTCATTCATATGAAAGACAAACTCGACCAACGTTAACCCAAAAAAATTAGATATTTGTGAAAAAAAGAAAAAAAAAAGGATTTGTTAAAATAGAAATGAAAGGGAAATAAAGTAACTAAAGAGAAAAATGAAAACAAAAGTTTCACGAAAATGGCATGAGAGGATCATTAATACAAGAAGAAGAGAACCCCTTGCTTTCCCCTTCCTTCTTATCACCCAACCGCCGAAAGGCTTTACCTTTTATTCATAAATATCTCCATTTTTGTAATTTTGTATATGAATATATTTTGCATTCAATCATTTATATCGATCACGAACAAACCAGGGTTTGATCAAGCATCACGATCTTCAATCAATTCTCAACCGTCTGATTGATGACTCCGGCGTTGACATGTCGCCGGCGTTGCTAGAGACCTAGAGCTCCGGCGCACCCCCATCAACAGCAACAAGCGAACCTCAATAACGGTCAGATTTCTCGCCCTTTGTCGTTTGATTTTTCCTGGGTTTTCGTTGCCATACCAATCCGAGCAATATCAAAGTTCGTCACACACGATGGACCCATCAAATTTAGGCGATACATCGTCGAATTCGATGGAGTTAAACTCCAATTTTAGCTTCAATACGCCGCCCGGTTCTCGGCAGGGGTCGGGTCTTTCCAGGCCGAGGCTTGTGAAGGTGAGGAGGGGCACGGCCTCCCAGGTTCTGAAGCCGGCTGGCTCCCTGGAAACTGGGTTTCATCCCGGATTTAATCCGTTTCGAACGGGTTTCGAGAGTTCGAATCCAGTCTCATCCGGGCCAGAAGCTGGGACTTCAGTTTCTGGGGCATTTGGGACCCCTAAGAGTGGGAATGAGGAAAAGTTGTTTGGGGCCAATAAGATTGATCCGACTGCGAATTCGGGGAAATGGGATTCTAGTGGAGGTTTGGGGAGAGTTGTGATTGATGATATGAGGAATTTGAAAATTGGGAGCGGCAATGAGTTTTTCAATACAAAAGTGGGTGCTTTTAGTTTTAATGCAAGAAGTTCGAGTTCACCTGCGGGGTTGGATAAAGGTGGTTTTGTTTTTGGAAATGGCAATAAGCAGAATTCTAGTATTGATGAAAGCATTGTGTCAAAGCTTCCTGAGGATATGAGGAAGTTGAACATTGAAGGTCCCGAGAAGCGTGAATCTGTTGAGATAGGTAAAGATCAAAAGTTTAATTGCAGTGCAAGTGATAAGACCAAGTTTGGGTCGGGTATTAATGACAATGTGGGTGGTTCTCTGGGCCAAAATAACGAATCAGAACTACCAAATGAGTTGAAGAAGAAATTGAACATTCAAGAGACTGTGCAGCTGGATCAAAGTACTGACAGGCATAATGCCGATGATTTGAATAAGTTTGTCTTTGGAAATAGTAAAAAGGATAGTTATTTATCAGCCGGAACCCCGGAAAATGTACTTCCAGATAAGATGAAGACTCTGAACATAAAGGATACTTTTGATGGAAGAAAAGGTAATCTTCTATTGAGAAAGATGGAGAAGTTGAATATAGGCAGTAGGGCTGGAGGCTCTATGCAACCAGATCCAGGGAGATCTTCACATGAATCATTTATAAAAACCATGGAAACTGGAAATTGTAGCGACAAGTTATTTCACATGAATGAAAAGAGGGATGAGTTTTACTTTACAAGCAAGCACGATGGTATAGGCACACACTCTTTAGAATTTAAATCACCAAACCCTAAAGCAAACGTGTTTTCTGGCGTAAACAAGAAAGTGGAATTCAATGCGAAGAGGCAGTCATTCAAGGAAACAAAAATGAAAAAAACATCCGCAAAATTAAGGCGTTCTACCTCAGCCCCTCTGGGACCTGGGCATGATTTTGTTTCTAGAGAAGGCAGTTCTGAAGAAAACATTGAGGCCTCTGAATCCTATTCGCCAATGGAGGTTTCTCCATATCAAGAAACATTGGCTGATAACCAGTGTTCAAAAGAGAATTCTGCTGCATCTGGTGAATCATTTAATCTACATAACAACAATTCGGCCCCTTGTTCAGTACCTACTGTTTCAAATATTCTTATTGATGAAGATCTGGCTATGGCTACAGAACATTTGGATATAAATGAAGCTGATGCAACAACCAGAGAAGCAAAAGAGGACACTTATGAGTACCGTCACGATGGTAGTGTTGGTACTGAAGGAACTCTTGAAGGATCTATGTCCGAGGTTGAAACTGAAAGCTTTAAGTCTGCAGCTGAGGAGGTAGACTTTAATAGCGATAACTCTCATACTTCGGCAGAAACTGAAGCCAGTTCGAGCTCAAACATGGAGAGCCATGATACTGATGGAAGGCTACACTTTGGTTTCCCTTCAAGTTTGGAAAATAGAAGTGGGTCTAACTTCACCTTTGCTGCCTCTTCCGCTGCACAAAGTCAAGTATCTGCATCAAAACGCCTCCAGAAAAAGAAAAGTCTGGTAAAGGCTGGTCAAGATACCAATACTATAGTTCCAAATGTTAAGATTCCATATGCATCATCCTCTTCACAGTTTTTGCCCTATTCTGGTGCTTCAGCACTTATGTCACCTGGACATTATCAGAAAATAGAGTCATCTATCCCACAACCCAGACGTGGAGATAATACTGGAGTGCGTAAGGAACAGGAGATAAAGCAAGAATCTATTTCTTTGTCTGCTGAAGCAGCTGCAGCTCAGGAAGCATGTGAAAAGTGGCGACTAAGGTCAGGACTTATATTCATTTAATCATCTTTGTCTATGCTTAAAACTCATTGTTTGATGTCCCTTTTAGACCTCTGAGTGGAGTAATATAGCCCTGTGCTAAAGATGAGCTTCTTTTTGTTGAATTTGATACATCTCCAGGGGAAACCAAGCATACTCTAATGGGGATCTGTTTAAAGCTGAGGACTGCTACACACAAGGAGTGAATTGCGTTTCTAGAAATGAGACATCTAGAAGCTGTCTTAGGGCATTGATGCTGTGCTATAGCAACCGTGCAGCAACACGTATGACTCTTGGAAGAATAAGAGATGCACTTGGGGACTGTATGATGGCTGCTGCAATTGATCCCAACTTCCTGAAAGTACAGGTTAGAGCTTCCAAGTAAGTATTTTCTCTTTACTATTTGATATTTTCTTTTGACTTTCCAGTATGAACCTCTGCGCTAATGCAGCTTCTTTTTTTGTTGATCGCACTTTCCGACATAAAATAGGATGAGTTATGCAAACATTTCATGATATCTAGTGCGTTTTTACTTTAGACCATGAAGTTTTGGAATTTACAAGCCAACCACCTGAAATTTATATATGGTTGGATATAAATTTATAACAAAAGTCAAATGATGGACTTTAACATTTTAAAATTTCGCTATAATTCTTGTTGAATTTTAATACAATTGATTGTTAGACTTTTGCTACTTACCATTACTTATACAATATTGTGCGGTTGTTCTTGGATTGTCTGGTTCTAAGTAAGACATTTTACTGGCACTCAAATTTCTACTTCTCATAATTTTCATATGTTGTTCTGCTGGTCTTTCATTGGGTATTTCCAATTGAATGTGCTTTGTCGCTTTGATTTTTGAGTTCCGGCATAGAATTTTTCAGTTATAAATTCATAATTGCTTTTCTTTTCACATAACATAACCTTCCATAATTGTATTTCTTTTTAAAATTCTTAAAGCTGTTATCTTGCTCTTGGGGAAGTTGAAGATGCTTCACAACATTTTAGGAGGTGCCTGCAATTAGCAAATGATGTCTGTGTGGACCGAAAGATTGCAGTAGAAGCTTCTGATGGCTTACAAAAAGCACAGGTAGTGTAATTAATTAAAAACCCGATCTTACTGCTTTCCATGGGATTCACCATTGTCTACAGTTAACATCACTTATAAATTACGTTGTGTACATTATAAATTCTAAGTCGTATGTTGTGTACATGAAATTGGTTAATACAGTACTCATCTGAACCCTGATAATGCTGAAACTTTTTCTCATTTTCGTAAAAACAGTTTAAGTTGCAAACCACATAGTTTGTAGGGTGATTGAGCCAAGAAGAACTAAGGAATTTTCTGATTGTAAAACCCCTATTCTGGCTTGTAAAGGGAAAAGACTGGAGTAAAAAAAGGATCAAAGTTGGAGTGTTGATCTGTTTGGGGTTTTAACTTATATTTAATTTCTTTCTTTTCATCTTCAATATATTATTTCGTCTGAAGGCATTGCAGATTTCAAATGTGCTCATAATTATTGTTGCTCATGTTTGATACTTGATGATATGGTTGGTTGTGAAATTGTAGTCAGGAATGCTTATAACTTGGTTGTAGAAGTAAAACCCTGTTGGATAGGTCAGAGGAACTATACTTTCAAGTTGGTATCAATTGAGGATGGCCAGGGAGGTCTGACAAATGTATTTGCAAAGGCTATTGTTGAGCAAGGACTTGGTATTGTTGGTCGACAGTGAATTTAAAATTTGGTTTGAGTTTCTTTTGGATTAGAATGAGTTATTGTGGGGCTGTTTTGAACAGTGACGAGAAGGCAAAAGTTAGTATTTTAGTGGATTTAAGTGTGTTATAAACAAGATATCGTAATGAAATTTTGGGAATTTTAAATAACCATTCTGCATCCTCCAGGCCAGTAAATTTTTTTTTAATTTTTTTTTTATAAAGAATATATCTATAATAAGTTTGAGAGATATAGGATCAAAAGCAGTGTGAGCTTGAAGGTTGAACTATAGTATTACGTGTACTCTCCTAAACCTCAAATTCAAAAGCAAAGGTCTTTTATTTGTATATCTTCTCACTTGGTGCATTTTGTGTTTATCTGAGGAGGAGATTGTGGAACATGTTTTCTCCATTGCTCTTGTTCTGCACAGTTGTGATGGAAATTGTGTAGGGGAGTTAGAGCTAGTTGCGTTATTCCAAATTGTTGTTTTGAGCTTCTAAGTACCAAGTTTGAGGCTTTAGGAAGGTGGAGGAAAGCTAAATTTTTGTGGGGTTGCTTTTGTGCTGGCAGTTTTTTGGAATATTTGGGTGGAGCGTAATAGAAGAATTTTAAAGAATACAAGGGTGTGGGACTAGACGAATTATGACATAGTTAGATACTGGGCAGCTCTGCTATTTGCACATCAGTTTCGAATAAGGATGGATGCATTTGCCGCTGTGAAATGAATTTAGGTTTCAAGTCTTCAGGTTTTTGTATCTTAATTTGAGAGGTCTGGTTCTGTACTAAAAGTTTGATTTTGGATTATGGGTAGCTTATCTAATTTTTGGAACTGTTTCTGTTTTTAATCAAAGTTAGTCTTCCTCAAAAGGGAAAAAAAAAGAAAAAAAAAAGAAGAATGGCAAGCGAGTACCACGATGTAAAATCAAATTTATAATAATTTCAACCTTTAACTTTTTGCTCACATATCATTTTATATTTCGAAGTCCGATTTTAAAGATTATTTCACATTCTAGCAAGTGTACCCTATCCCATGTTACTGTGGGAACATGTGTAGATGAAATGTGGGACCAAGTTAGATAATGGGCAGCTCTTTGGACGTTAGCTTCAAATGTGTAGGGATTATTTTCACTCTTTTATAATAATGGATGTGTTAGCAGCAGGGAAAATGAATTTATATTTGAAGTCTTGGTTTATGTAACATTATAACTTAGCTCTTTTTGAGAGGTCGTTTTTTATACTTCAGGTTAAGATATACATTTTTCTTTTATTATTTTTTGGCCAATAACAGTTTTATATTGCTTACATGTACACACGTACAAAGTTTTTGTATATAATGGGGATCGCTTGTGGATCCCTATCCGCATTGTATTTAATGATCTGAAATATCTATATTATGTCTCAATTGGATCATCCCTGCAAAATATCAATCAAATCTTAAGCCATTGTTCTAACCATTGGATTTTTACAGTGAAGTGTTTGTATACAAACTGATTTAGGGTTTTAATTGATGGCAGAAAGTGTCTGAATGCCTGAATCTTTCTGCTGAACTTTTGCTATGGAAAACATCTACTAATGCCGAGCGTGCTTTACAACTTATTGATGAAGGTTTGGTAATAAGTCCTAGCTCAGAAAAATTATTTGAAATGAAAGCAGAGGCTCTTTTTGCGGTTAGTGATTTATTTAATTATGTTTTTTCTTTTATTGGTTTTTGCTACTCTGATTTTCAGTCAGTTGTGGGTTGAATTCTGTATTCCCTAGCAGGTGCGGAGGTACGAAGAGGCGATTGAGCTGTGTGAGCAGACTCTTAGTTCTGCGGAAAAAAACAACCTTCCAGCAGATATCAATGACCAGGTCGTTTCTGTAGATAGTTCTGAACTCTCAAAGTACTTTTACTTCAGACTCTGGCGGTGCCGTATGATTTTTAAATCCTATTTTTATCTTGGAAAACTCGAGGAGGGTCTTGCTACACTAGATAAATATGAGGAAAAGATGTCTACCTCATATAGGTAACTTTTAGACACGATTTTGATGTTAAATTGTGTTAAAGGTTTGCTTTTGTTGCTTGAAGTTCCTAACACTATGCGAATGTCCAGGAATTGGAGAAAAACTCTGCAATCATCAGAACCCCTTGTTCTCGTTGTACGTGAACTTCTGTCTCATAAGGTATGCTCAGTCTATGCTGTGTTTCTTGACTTGTACAATCCTCTCTGGGTGCACACGTAATATCACAATTGAATAGAAATATTTGAACTCATACCTCATCCCATATTAAAGAAGGTTGGGCAGGATCCTCTTCAGCTGTCTTGCCGACATGTAATTACAAATAAAGACATGACGTATTTTCAAAACTAGATAGGACTTTCTTAACCGTGTCATTTTCCTCCTATAGACAAAGAGTGCATTTGTTACTTAAAGGGCCTATTATCAAACCTCATTGGTTATCCTGGTGGAACTTTCTCCTATGTTAGCACTTGCTATGATGTCTGGCTACAGGTTTTTTAATTTTTTGTTTTTGAGATATATAGTAGTTTCTAGTCATTCGATTGCAGATATATTTTCAAACCAATCACTTTCTCGAACAATATTTCCTTTTTCAAGTGGTGTCAGGGTAAAAGAAGGTTGTACCTTAGTTTATGCTTGGCATTCTTCAGTGTCTGCTAGTTTGTTTTTCCAATATTTGATGCGTTTAATTTGAGGAAGTGTTAATGGCACTCCACAAGGGTCATCCTTTACTCCTCCCTTATAAAAAGGGAAAAATTGCACTTTTGACTTATTTGGAGTGTCAATAACAGCTCCCTTAATTTATTCATCATTAACTGTTTAATTGAAAAATATGAAATGCTCTACTGCATATACATGCTGCTTATGTAGTGACTTTCTTCTTTGTTATTGTACATCGTAGGTTGCAGGGAATGAAGCATTTCAGGCTGGAAGACATACTGAAGCTGTTGAGCATTATACTACTGCTTTGTCCTGCAATGTTGAATCACGTCCATTTACAGCTGTTTGTTTTTGCAATCGTGCTGCTGCATACAAAGCATTGGGCCAGATTACTGATGCTATTGCTGATTGCAGTCTAGCTATAGCTCTTGATGGAAATTATCTAAAGGTTTGTTCAAAGCTGAAGTTTTCTTAATGATTCTTTGATATGGCATTGCTCATGATTTTACTTATTCATTACTTTTTTCTTTGGTAAAAGGAGGGGCTGGTTTTATATCTCTGTTTGATTGATATCAGAGATATACAAACTAGTAGTCTGGTTAGGTCATTAAGAGGGCATTTGATTGACCGGACCAGGACTGGATTACGACTTCTCTTTGTGGGCTTATTTTAGGCTATTTAAAATGTGGGGCCTAAATAGAACCAATGCAAGCCAATCCCTGCAATTAATCTAGGACAAGCCATCAAATGTGCCCCAAGTGTATTAGTACCTCTAATTGATTTGTATTTTCTTAGTGACACAGCTTTCCACCTGTTTTTGGGGAGCATTGGGAATGTGTGTTGTGATACTTATTTGTGTGTTTGTGCGGTTACTTCCTGTGGAAATGCAATAAATGGATCTTATGTCTAACACATTAATTTTCAAGGAAATCTTAAAACATTTAATTCCCTTCTATTTCAATTGCAATGAACATCTAAGTTTCCAAGAATGTCACGTTTTATTTTCAGATTGCAGTCTACTGAACTTCTCAAATTTGTGGTCAGATTTTGATTAAGATATTCAAGAATTTTACTTTTGGGTTAACCCTTGAGAATTTAAGATATATTAGATATGAGTAGTTGGCTCCACTTAGTAGGTCTTCCCTGGATAAAAGATTAAAATGAAGGAATTTTCAGTCAGTTCAGTCTTGACACCATTTTTGACATCCATTATAATTTTTAATTTCTAACTAAGAATTTCTCCCATATCTTTTGGTTTGTGGTTTGTACCAATCTCAAAGTGCAGCTTCTCCAGGGTTAGATTTTATTTAGACTTTAAAATTTTGGTGTGCTTTGCTCGGGTTTCCTCATGTATTGCGTTATGTTATACTGTAGTGTGAATATCAGTTTCTAATCTCCAATGAACAACAGATAGATGTGTAGAACATAACCTTACACGTGCTTCACAGGCAATATATTTATCACATTTAGAATGGATGTGACCACGGAAATGCTCTTTGGTGATTAATTTTTCATAAGGATATGGAATTCTTATGAACTGTTTACGTGGGATAAAGTAATCATATAACATTGACATAGGCATATGGATTAGAATTGTTTGTCTCCCACATTTGGGATGCCAACGGGCTAGACTGGAAAAGAGTGACCTGAACTTTCAGAATGTTGTACAAGATGTTGGCAGAGTTGTGAAATACTGTATGGTTTATTGGTCCTTGTGAACCTTTGTAGTTAAACCTCTTGAGTTATAAGTGGTTGCTTGTCTACGAACATTTAAAATTTGAAGTCTATGGGTCGATTATGTTGGGGATGGAAGAAGACTACACTATTACAATGAAGCTGTCATTCCTCTAGTAGGTGGCGCTTTGCCGCTTTCACAATCCTTACAAAGTTGCATTTCCTGTGGCATATTGCATTTCAGAACAATTATTTTCTTTGTTGGGTCCTCCTATATGTTATGTCAGTTCCTGTTTTCTTTTATACTTTTACAGGCTATTTCTAGACGAGCCACATTATACGAAATGATCAGAGATTATGGAGAAGCTGCTAAAGATCTTCAGAGACTGGTATCTATTCTCACTAAGCAGGTAGAGGAAAAAACTAATCTGTGTGGAACATCTGACAGATCCATTAGCAGCACAAATGACTTGAGACAAGCTCGTCTTCGTCTTTCTGAAATAGAAGAAGAAGACAGAAAGGACATCCCCTTGGATATGTACCTTATTCTGTAAGTTTATCTGCACCTATATTTGTTTCTAGCATATGGTTGCAAACTGGCCCCTCTTTAGGACGTTTACATGAATGCTTCTAGACTATACGGTTAAATAATTGTTGAGGCTGAGTTGTTATACATTCATGTGGGTGTACTGAGTAATTAACTGTAGCTGTTGAGGCTGAGGCTGAGGCTGAGGAAACCAATTTTTTAAATTATGGGTGGTTCATTGACTTCCATCTTGTTCACAATAGTTGAAGTATCCTTCTGTTGGTTTAATTGCCAAGCATAAAAAACTTCTCCAGATGGTAATTTAAGCAATTGAAAAAACGAACAATAAAAGCTGGCTTTACAGTGAAGTGTATGGGAAAGCCTATGCTAGAAGCAGGGAGAACACTATCAGAGACTTGATCTCGAATTTGTGACTATCATGAAAATTTAGACCGAGATCGTCAGCTTAACACTGAAGCTGTTTGCTGATAATTCCTTGGTATAATATAAGTAATTATTTACAACAAGCTCTTTGGTAATGCTCCATGCTCTGGATTGTAGGCGGATAAGAATAATCCATGGAATCTAAGAAATACTTACACATGCCGTTTATGATTCTCCTAGAAAAGGTGTAGCTTTTTAAGACAGTTTAATTCCGAGTATAATTGATTGAAATTATCATTAAGTTAATTTGGTTATAATGGTAGGGGAGTTGAACCCTCTGTTTCGGCATCAGAAATCAAGAAGGCCTATCGGAAAGCTGCACTTCGACATCATCCTGACAAGGTATGTAATATTTTATGATTTGTTGCTTGCTTACTGCTATTCACCGTCTAACATGTTCTTTTATAGGCTGGTCAATTCTTTTCAAGGAGCGATAATGGTGACGATGGGCGTTGGAAGGAGATAGCGGAAGAAGTGCACAAGGATGCTGACAGGCTTTTTAAAATGATTGGGGAGGCATATGCAGTACTTTCAGACCCAACCAAGGTCTCTAAACACTTTGCAATAATGCTTTATTTTTTTCCGGTTATGTTTCAATAAACAAGTCTTTGTGCAGCACCTTTTTGTTGAAAAAAGTTTGTACTTTTTGTTCATACTGCCTTCATCCTTATTTGAGTTATCAGAGATCTTTTCCTCTTAGACGTTGATATGCTATGGGTTTTAAACTTTTATCGGTAGAGACCAGTGAGATGTTTCATATTCTGGTCAATTATAATCTAATGATTATTGTTTGGGTATTGTGTTTCACAAAATTGATGAAGAAATGTTAAAATCCCAACTTTCTAAGAAATTGTGGTGTTTATTTTACTCATGTTGCAGCGTGCAAGGTATGACACCGAAGAGGAGATGAGGAATGCACAAAAGAAACGCAGTGGAAGCAGCACATCTAGAATGCCAGCAGATGTTCAAAATTACCCATTTGAAAGTAGCAGTAGTAGGCGACAATGGAGAGAGGTTCCGAGATCATATGGCAACTCATCTTCTAGAGGGTCAGAAGCAACATGGTCAAGTAGATATTCTTGAAGACATGCCTGATTGGAACCTTGATTCTTCAGAAGAGGTTTTGAATGGAATGAGGTTAGAAGATGGATTTATTCCGTTGCTACATGTGTAGCTTCACTTCAAGGATCAACCGACATGTGCAGTTGATTCAGCTTGCATCTCAATGGTAGTGAACTCCCGACAGTCAACAGCTTGCGTGGATTGTGATTGTTTACTGGCAGTAGGGGGGAAAAAGCTCTAGTTTCCTTGGAAAGTTTGCAGGCTTACATAAGCTTTGGTGGAGATACTGTAGTCTGAAAATACCAAACGAGGCGATACCTCCTACATCAATGTGTGTTTGTGTGTAGAAAAAGAGGACCGATAATGCGTACAGCTGACGGTATGTGAAGACGCAAACCAGAAAGTGCTTGTTCCAGTTTGCTAGTCATTTTATCGACACGCCAGAGATTGTTTGAAGTGCTGGAATTTTTGTGTGTTTGATGCTTTTGCTTCAGAGATTGTTTGAAGAATAATTGAGCCTGAGAAAACTATTACCACAAAATATATTGTCGACACGCCACAGATACACACACCGGGTGAGGGGTTCTTTAGTTTTGTGTACAGTCACTATTTCTGGGTGAGGAAGTTGAAATGATTTTATATATATTTTTTTTCAAATTCAATATATTTACATTACTGAGCCCAGATCTTGTGCACTACCGTTTTCCTTTTGCTAGCCGGCTGCCCTTTTGCGGAATTTTTCTTTTATGGCTCGTTTAATAATCCGTAATTAAAATAAGAGGAAATGAATTGATGTGCATTGAGGAATTGGAATGGGATAAAGTGAGAATTGGATTTCTAGTGAAGTTGTTTATAAAAGTTTGTACATTTAAGTGTAGGAATACTAATTCCATATAAGCTATTCATCAATTCATTTGAATCGGAGTAAAGTTGTTTATCAAAAGTTTGTATTTACGTGTAGGAATACTAATTCCATATAAGCTATTCATCAATTCATTTGAATCGGAGTAAAGTTGTTTATCAAAAGTTTGTATTTACGTGTAGGAATACTAATTCCATATAAGCTATTCATCAATTCATCTGAATCGGAGTAGGAATCAATGTTATGTTAAAATTTCTTATTCTAAACTAATTGTTGTATATGCAACCTGATAGAAAAAAAGAATCAAATTCCTTTTCTCACCAATAGTAAACACAATATGTATTAGAATTTACAATTTAATTATTGCATGTATATTTATTTTTAACAAAAACTTTAATTCAATAGGATAGTTCTATTAACACCGTACAATCTTATGAAGACACCCCATATTTTTATTCTTTTCACTTAAACTTTCATTTTACCTGTATTTGAATTAAGTTTAGAAGTCCAAAATAAACCCATCCACCCGCCTATGCTGGCTACCAACCACCGCAGTGTCTCGGCAAAAATTAACCCATCCACTCACCATGTTCTCTCTCTATATCTCTCCAATCACCAACCACTTGTGGATAAGCAATAGGGAATTGGGAAATGGGTGATGAAATAAGAGTGTTGGGCAACTCTTGGGCTACTAGAGGGTCGGTGTTGGCCAACAACTTCAAGGACACTAATGTGATAACCAAATTGGTTGTGGGCTAGATTTCCTAGAGTGCCGATTCAATACAAGGAGGATAATATCATTAAGGATATCAGGCAACCAATTGGTTGTGTGATTAGGGTTGATGAGGTTACTCTGGGGCTTAATGGCTTGTTTGCGAAGATGCTATTGGAAGTGGACCTTAGGTTCCCTTTTAAAGAGAGTTTTGATAGTGAACCATGATGAGGATAGCCCTACCCTAGTGAGCTACGAAAAGCTGTTCGAAGTTTGCTTCTACTGTTGTAGGAGAAGACTTAAGGGACATGATTGCCTTGAGGTGGAGGCTAATGATGGCTGTTTTATGATAGAGTATATGAGGATGAGCCCTCAGTTTTCCTGAAGATATAGTTGGTGGATGAGGATATGAAGGCCAACCTGCACAAGGATGTGATGTTGTGTTTTCCTAGCGCTGCAAATGTGGATGAAGAGTATACAGAGAATCGTGAGGCGGTACAGAGAATAAAGGAGGAAGGTCCTGATGAGGAGGGCTGGACTACTGTGATACCTAAGTAGAAGAGAAAAGCTGAGAAGTGCAGGGGTGGGGAAAGTTTGAGGGATGATAGGCTCAGTGACGTGGTTAGCAGCCCTAAACACAAATGGGCGGCTGGAGCTAACCTTGTCCAGAACTGGGGAGGTCTGGGAAGATGGTGGAGCATGATCAGGGGGTAAGCATGTTGAGTGAAAACTATAAGTATCTTGATATTGATAGAAATTGTTGGTGAATGATTTTTTGCTAAACCAGAATGTCATGTCGAATGCAAGAAACGATGATGTTGAAACTAGGGGTAATTCTGGAAGTGTGGTTACTGCCTGCCTTGTTGCAGAAGCTGATTCTACGAATACAAGGCCTAAAGTAGGAATGATGAGTCCAAGGAAGAGAGTCTGGGAAGAGGATGCTACAGAGGCTGGTTCTAGTTGTTACCTAGAAGAACTAGATTAAGGAAGTGCATCATGTGGCTCAAAAAAGCCAGAGTTAATTGCTTACAGTTGGGAGATAAAAATACAAAGTTTTCCCATCTTAGTACTACAAAGTTTTCCCCTCCTAGCACTAATGAGATGTCTAAAATTGCGAATATTATCAAGCCTTGCATAAATGAGGAGGAAAATAATTTTTTACTCTCCAATTACTGTAGATGAAGTTTGGGACGATGTAGATAGTATTGGGGCACTAAAAGCCCCTAGCCTTGAGCCGTTGCATACTAGTTTTTACCAAGGTTGCTGGGATATGATAGGAGCATATTTATGCGACTTAATTGGCTTGTTCTCGTGCTTTTACGTTGTGTTTCTTTAGTTATTTTAGTGTTTAAAGTCACTTTTGTGTGTTTTCAGATTATAAGGCCAAAGTGTGCAAAATGATGTAATTTGGAGCCTTATGGAGCAAAAGGAATGGATGAATTAGAGACTTGAAGAAATTAGGTTTCCTAATCAACGAAGGATTCCTAATTGAAGATGGATTCCTAATCACATGAGGATTCCTAAAAGAACAAGGATTCCTATTCCAACAAGGATTCCTACTTGAAGTAGGAAAGTTAAGCCAAGGTTTCCTATTTTGGTTTGACCTTTCCTAATTCTAAAAGTACTTATGTTCCAGCCACTTTGAGGACTTCATATGCACTTGAGGACACAAAACAAAGGCCTTAGAACTCTTAGGGACCTTTGCCGCACCTTTCCCAATTTCCCATCTCCTTGCCGTGCAAGGGAGCCATCTCCCATCAGTTTTAGGACACTTAGACCTTCCTAAAGTCCTTGCCACACACACCTTGCCCATTCCTCTTCCTTGCCGTGCAAGGGAGAGGGTTCTTTCCTGATTCTATGCATTCAAACACATTCCTAATGTGTTTCAAGGCTGTGCCGCATATCCCTTGCCCTTTCCTTTAATTTTCTGATTTTGTTTCCTATTTCTAGAAGCCTTAGACTTAATTTCTGATTACCTAAATAACCTAGGGTTTTAATTCCTGAAATCCTTTAAATAAGCATCTCTTTTGCAGCCACAAAAGAACCATTCATTCCTATTCATGCAGAAACCATCCCACCTCCCTTTGCCACACCCATCCTTCACCAATCTCCATAATTTCTGACCCCAAACACTCCTAGCCGCACCATACATCCATCCTAAATACCATTCCACCTTTCTACATCATCCATAACCCCCAAAACTCATCACCAAACCACTTGTGTGCCACAACAAGAAGGAAGAAGGAAGGACCCTTGGATGTTCAAGCTTCATTGTTGGTGCATTCTAGGTGTAATTCGTTTTATGATTTCATTGTGTAATTTCTTCCCCTTTCGTTTTGCTATAAACATGAGTGGCTAAACCCTTATTGGTTAGGGGTGATTTCAAAGCCATGACTATGTGTGCAATTTGATTTGATAAATTCCAATTATGAATTCTTGAATTGTGAATGCAATTGGCCTAACTATTTGATTAATAACTTATTTGTGTTTGTTAATTAGGGGTCGACACTTAATTGGCATGCATAAATATGATGCTAGAGTATAAGGATGTTTCACATAATCGTTACAAACTTATATTCATATGTAGTGAAGGTTGCTAGTCACAATCGCGTTAAGTTCAATTCCTAGCATGAGTGACATGATGTCATAGTTGCAAGTGCTTTGTCATTGCTTATGGTTTTCATTGAACGTAATGATCTTTGATCGTATCTCTATTATGATGTCATGAAGGGGACCTTTGAAGAATGCTTTGGGTTGTCGAATGATGCCATCCAATCCAATAATACAAGGAAAACCTGAAAGTTAGCTAGTGATGTCACGGCTAATTTGGGGCAATGTCGTTCATAGTTCTATGAAGGAATAATTGGAAATCGAGTCGTTTGAATATATGTCATGTGTGGAGAAAGAGCCTCTAACTAATCCATCATCCATTTAAAATCCCAACTCGTTTTACAATCTGTTTTAATTACAAAGTTTTTGTTTTGTTTTCAATTTCGTCAAAACCAATCTCCCCTTTATTTTGAAGTCCTAGATTAGTTAGAAAGTGTTTTAGTTTGTGTTTTTAAGTGTTTTGATTCAAGTTATAACCCAATTTCGTTCAGATTTATGTTAGAGTTCAAAACTGCCCAGAAAGTGTTTTTAAGGCAGTTTTGAGTCTTTTGGTTTGCTTTAGTGTTTTAAATTTTAGTTTTGCATTCTTTGAGTCTAGTTTAGTGTTTTAAACTTTGTTTTTACGTTTTTAAGTCAGTTTTCAAGTGTTTAGCAATCCCTCCTAATCCCCGGTTTAGAACGATCCCTACTTATCCATACTACAATTGTCAACAAGAGGGTTTAATTTGTGTGTTTAGTTATTTTACGCATCAGGATACAGTTGAGAACTCTATTTTTTCGGTATGGTGAAGGATTTCTTTGAAAATAATGCGAGTCTCTGACTGACAAATCATACAAATATAGCACTCATTCCTAATGTGGAAAACCCAAAAACTGTTGGTAACTATAGGCCTATTAGTCTTTGTAATGTGAGTTATAAAACAACTACTAAGGTCATTATTAAGAGATTAAGGCCTATTCTGAATCTCTGTATTTCTCCAAACCAAGGTGCATTTGCACCTGGTAGATCAATAAAGGATAATATTGTGATTGCTCATGAATTGTTCTCAAACTGTTGGTAGCTTTTAAAAATTCGCCAAGGCCCAACCCCCGTAAGGCCCTTCAAACCAGTGCATTGGACTCCTGTTGAATTTTTTTATTCAAGTTGTTATGCACATACTACACTTTATAAAAGTGTGTTCATTTTGCACACCTTAGCATTTTTTTTATCTATTTTTTTTTTTTTGGTAGTCTGAATAACCAAAATTAGAATATTTTTGTTGAATGATTTGTCACTTTTCATTGACACAACTGTAGCTCGTTAACGTTGACCCACACCGACCCCAAATAACACAATTTATGAGGTTGTGATGTGTTGGTTGTCACTAAATTGACCACATGACCCTATCGAGAGATGACATCACGAGCCAACTTAATAGAAAAGCCTAAGTATGATAATTACGACGAAACCATAGTAAGATAATTATGATGTGAGAGAATTTGAACCAAAACGTTCTTTAC